TTATAGTTAGGGCTGGCTCAGGTTTATAGTTAGGGCTGGTTCAGGTTCAAAGTTAGGGCTGGCTCAGGTTCAAAGTTAGGTCCAGCCCTACGCTGCTATAGGGTTAGACTGCTGAAGGGTTTCCTAGGATACACCAAGCTCCTGTCTTTGTGCTTCCTCTCCTCACAGGTTTCTATGGATCGTGGTCTTACCTCGACCATGGTAGCGCCTCCTGCCGTGACCTTGCTGACACCCACTGATACTATTATGAACTTCTCCCTGGGATAGAGATCCCTCCTCTGTTTTCTCTGAGTTTTCCTCCTCTCCCCCCTCATTAAAGTAGTTATTTTTGGGGGTTTTCCTGTTCCGATGTGAGGGTCCTGGGACAGAGGAGGTTGTATGTTGTACAGATAGTAAAGCCCTCTGAGACAAATACAAATAAATTGTAATATAACCGAAATATTTAATGTCTAAATGATAAAAAAATGTATCTCTGTAATGTAATGGTACTATTTTATTAACATGCAGAGCAGAGTGATCAGTTGACGGACCACACCGGTTGGATTTAGCAAAAAGAACCAATTCCTCCCCCCTTCTTGAAGGCTGTGCTCAGAAACTCAGCAACATCCCCCTCTCTCTGACTTTATGGCGGTGTCATAAATTCTCTGGTTTCTCTCACAGTGCACAACAAATTCAGTAACTCTCCCTTTAGTTTAAACCTTCTACAAATAAACATATTGTAACACATAATATCCATCGCTAGGAGCGCTTTAAAACTTAAATTCCTCACAATAGTCCGCAGTCCGCACGAGTTGTATGAATCCAGTCAGTCACAGTCTCAGTGTTATGCTAATGTTAGCTAATAAAGTTAGCCAAAGATACAACGGTCTCCTAAACTTATTTTACACATAACTACAATCTTCATATTTAAGTCTCTATGACAGCCAACTTTTCATTTAATTTTCCAGTGTGGAAGTTCAAATAGAAACTCTTTGATTTTATACGAGGTTGGACAAAGTTCTGATCAAGTATAAACTGAACCTTTGTCCTGACTCCGATATTCATACTGGAGTCATGTGACTCTAAAGACTGTCACATAGTAAATCATAAGAATGAAAAACAATAAGGAAGAACTGGTAATGAACTAAATGCCATTAGTCCATTTTTATTATATGCTGGAAGATGAAGAGTCTACCAGGTTTTTATAAATATAAATTAAAATGTTTTAATTTGAAGAAATTGCTATAAAATGTCCAGAGTCTTTAAACCATGATGAATGGTGTATCTCTTCCTTCCTCTCAGCTAGAAGCACTCTGATGTGTGTGGGAGTGGTTAGGGTTAGTGAAGTGAATCGTCTGATGTTATTTTCTCTCATCAGCATTTAAAAAAGAGGTCGGTGTAAACCCTATTAAGTTTGTGCTGGTTTGTCATTAAGCGTCTAACCCCATAGGGGTAGAACCCTATTACGTTTGTTATTATTAAGGGTCTAACCACATAGCCTTATTAGAACTATATTACTTCACGGCACATCATCCAAAATCCTAAATAAACTCCAGTACATCCAGAACTCTGCTGCTCGCCTGCTCACCCACTCCCGCTCCCGTGACCACATCACCCCTGTTCTCCAGAACCTCCACTGGCTCCCCGTCCCACAACGGATCAAATACAAAATCCTTCTCCTCACTCATAAAGCCCTCCATAATCAGGCCCCCTCCTACCTCACCGACCTGCTCCACCACCACACTCCATCCCGTCGGCTCCGCTCCTCTGATGCCAACCTCCTCTCTCTTCCACTCAGGACCAAGCACCGGACATGGGGTGACAGAGCCTTCTCCATATCTGCCCCGTCCCTCTGGAACTCTCTCCCCAAACACATCCAAGACTGGACTGACCTTTCCATGTTCAAATCCCAAATCAAAACCCACCTTTTCGAAACTGCTTTTAATATGTGACCATTATTGTGTATTTTATGTTTTTAGTGTATTGCTTTTATATATATGATTTTAATGTAAAGTGTCTTTGAGTACTATGAAAAGCTCTATATAAATAAAATGTATTATTATTATTTATTAGTGCCTTAATACAATTCCTGTGAGCTGTAACGAGTTAGAAACGTGAAACTCAATACCTGGAAATGATGTGAAAGTATTTCCCAATAATTATGAGTCAAACTGACCACATGGTGGCGCTTTTATTAACATCCAAAAACACAAGACACAAAAGTTGCAGAATAAGAGAACCTGAAACCACAAATCCACCACTAGCGGGACTACAAATTAAAATCCGAACCTAAATCATGAACAGATTTTTTGATCAATACAAAACTCAGGATATAATAATGTTGAACCACTCAACAGATCAAATCTGTCCATAAATCAGTGACAGTTTGTCCAAACTTCACCAAACCTGCTGGATATTTTGAGTGAAGCTGTTGAAACATGTCCAACACCTCGACAGGTGACTGGAGGGACTTTTGAGTGTGAATGACTGACAGGCTGCAGACATGTGATGATGAAACAAGCCTGTGATTGGTCTCTTTTCTTCTTTAGAAACCAGCTGAAGTGTATTATTGTTCTTGTTGTTTCCTGTCGGATTGTCTGTCTGTAGCTGCTATGTTGCTTCCTGTTGTAGTTTAGTGTCTCTTGTTGTCTTCTTTCAGGACATCTGTCTGTCTGAATGAGCGTCTGCAGCCGGCTGAAGGGCTTCCCAAGGATCCTGAAGCATCGACGGACTGAAATATTTCTCCACTGAAGATTCACCCTGAAAACAAAGACACATTTATTATTATAATCATCATAATGATCAATTTCTCTCAGAGTCTCTCAAGTAAAGTCCTGCTAGCTAACAGCTAACGCTAACCGCTAACTAACACAGGTTATGATTCAATTCAATTCAATTTATTTTTGTATAGCCCAAAATCACAAATTACAAATTTGCCTCAGAGGGCTTTACAACATTTGACATCCTCTTGTCCCGGAACTCTCACATCGGAACAGGAAAAACTCCCCCAAAAAACCCTTTAACGGGGAGAAAAGAGGAAGAAACCTGTGGGAGAGCAACAGAGGAGGGATCCCTCTCCCTGGATGGACAGAAGTGCAATAGATGTCATGTGTAGAAGATGCCTTCAAGCTCTACTCAGTATACATGAGTATTGGGCAAAACTTAACTATAATATTCAAATAGTAGATAGAGAACTATAGTGTTCAAATGTAGTCGTGTAAAATTTAGTTTTTAGTGAGAGACTTAAATAAATCCAGTTGTTTAAAGGAGACGATACAAAACGGTGTAGTTTAAGTTCTGATCTTTAACCTCTCAGTATATATAACGTTATATATATATATATATATATATATATATATATATATATATATATAT